CCAAAAGGGATTGATCAACGGCAGATGCTTTATCCTTTAGTTTGGGAGAAGGATAGGACGGCCTAAAGGCCTTACGGCACCATGTAAACACCCTCTCATATTCTTGAACCTTCTCATTCAGCGCCGTCGACAAGCGTTTTATGTAGCCTATCCCCGATCACTGAGAGTAATAGGTTTTAGCCGTCGTCGCGCGCAAGGAAAACCTGTCCACTATTTCCTATAAAGGACGCCGTAGCTACGACAAGGTTAGTGATAAAAATGTGAGTAGTAAAATAGCAAAATTTCAAACTTGTCACTCAAAATATCTGATAATCAGGTAAATGATAAGTACCATGTCATTGCAGAGCCATCACAACGATAACAAAACTTTTATATTGATAACAGTACCCATGTGTGAATATACAACCCCATCGTATCACAAAAAGTTCACAACCAGAAGAAACTATATAATGCACACAGATTATTATACTTACTCTTCAGCTGGCTCGTTACCATAGATTAATTATCCAAAAGGCACACAAAAATGGATAGTAAGCTACACGCGAGTAGAATGACCAGAGAAAAGAACGAGAACACAACAACAACTTAGAAAACATGTCTTAAGTATAATGAGACTCACAAAAAACACTTTCGAGTTCGAGCCCACCCAAAAGGACTGGAAAGCGCAACCCTTTCAACCCTATAATGAATACTGAGTGTACAAATTGAGATACCCTACCACCAACAATCGATGTCAGAAGGATAGTGATGGAACACCACTTCAGATGCCTATTGAACATAGCCCTCGAGGGCCCAGTTCTGCTCTGCAGAGAAGTTACACGGCCGCACCACGACCTCTTTGCCATTCGCGGCTGTCACGCAGAATCGAGTTTTCACATGGACGAGATGCTTATTCTGTAATGACTCTGGCATGTAAGTATGCAATGATTAGTATTGAAAAGATTACTCTGGAACATGCTGGAACACGATTGGTGATTACACACGAACCTCGTAGTCATACTTGAAAAGATGCTTAGTATTTGGAGATGCGACGTTACACCGTTCTAATCGAACGAGATTATCGAGACCACTAGAAGAAAGACACAGATCATCAGATCGAATTTCTCCTCGTTCCGTCAATGACCACGCCTAAAAAATAAGTGAAAAAGTTTTACGGATCAAATCTTCCAAGAAAAAACAACAGAGAAATGGGCCCAGCACACTTTGGGAGAAACTTTGTATTTGCTATTACATGATTTGTATATAAAAAAAGAACCTGGACTGTAAGAAAATGAATACTACCGATTGCCCAACCAGGCTAAAGTGGTCAAATAGACCTTAGCATTTGAAGAGGAACACGGCGACCCAGGTACCATCTATGACGTAGGGTAGGCTTGTGTGTTCCACATCAAGGACACTGGCAATGGTACAGTCAGCTAGCAATATCCGAGAACGAAAATGCTGATTTTAAGTTGATGAGGTGCAACTATGCCAGCGACCGAAAATCATAAGGAGTCAAAGTTGGAGAACTTAATCATAGAAGCTAATGTGGAACTAATTCAACTGGTGACAATTATGATCGATTACATTCTCAAGGATATCTCAATTAATGGAAGACTATACTAAAAATGCTTGTCTTAACCAGTTTTTCTACTATTGGCCGGAATATCATATGAGATTACGACTGGCGAAGTGAGGCGCTCTCACTGCTAAGGACGAAGATGGAAGATATTGAAAAAGGTTCCCTTCAAAGATTCACGACTTGGATCGCGAGCATTCATGCTCTGCCAGTGTTCACAGCATAGTGGCATGCTAGCTTTACCCACAAAACTGTATCCGAAAAGCCCTGCTTATGAACATAACCCCGAAAAGTATTTGCTGTGATAACAACAGCACTACTGAGCAGCAGAGAGTGAGGAAAAAATCAATATCATGATGAGGTTTTCTACAAAACTTGCTTCGCCCATAAGGCCGAGATCTTGCTTCATCCTTGGACATAAGTTAGATCAATGGATCATCACCTGACCCAGTATAAGTTAGCTAACGTAGACGCTTGAGTGACGTAAAGACTCATCGACAAAACAAACAAACATGGACAGGCTCGAGGATTCACGATGACCGCGATCGCGAGACCTTCTGACACCCCATATAAGAGAACCATTTTGATAGGAACGCATAACGGCAAGCGGAGTATTGAACGTAACAATAAATGAAAAGAAACAAGGAAAAAGGAACTGAACAAAATCAAAAAGGATCGGCAAAAATGTTTGCAAAAAACCTGGTTGTCGGCTTCGAACGGTCCCCACATGTGCCCCTTTTTAAAGTATATATCGCTCCATGAATTATAATCGACTATCACATAATCAAAAAGTATAAAGTTGGGTTATACCTGATTGCCACCTGCTCCATGACATGCCTGTATTCCCACCGGACCATCTTTCTTCGCCATTGTGTCCAGACAAAGCTTCGTCTCCTAAAAGAGGTGAGATGCAAGGGTTACTGCACTGGACAAAGACGGAGCAAAGGTACCTGATTGGCAATAGCGCCCAAGGACTTGTAATCATACGGTAATGGGGCCTCAGGATAAATATTCTTGAGGTACCTGTAAGTGTTGCCAATGTGAAATACGAAGCTTTTTTCAACTCAGTAGTTTCGAAGCACTAACCATTCAAAGTTTTTGCACTGCAAATTGGTGCGTAGCTGCCCTCCTGCCGGAAACATCACCAGCATCCACATTACGTGCAGCTAAAACATAATATAGAAATGAATTCAAAATATAATTCATGAATAAGGATAATAGGTTCGAAACGATTCTCACATGGGACCATCTTGTAGAAGAATTTGCTTGTAATGGTCCATCCACACCTCAGCCGTTCGTGCGGCGTTATGATGTATAACCTATAACAAGAACAGTTCGAATACTTTTGGAGAATGGGCAATACTGACACTACACAGTTTGGCATAGCTGATGATTTGGGAAAAAGCGAAACCCCCGCTGAGCAAGACGCACCCGTTGAAAAAAAAAGATGTTCCTTTGGAAGACAGATGCACTAACAAATATGAATTGGCGTAGATTCAGGGTCGCGTCAATCAGGGTTCCACAGTCCAATCAAGCAATTCAAAGAAGAAAAATGGGCTGTGGAACCCTCACCCACTCCTTTCGGTGAATTTCTGCACAGACCGATATGATGCTCGACTCATACCACTAAAACTACAATCCGCAAATGGACGAACCACTGCGCCGCACAAATATGAAGCAGCAGCACACTAGAAGACCAGACGTCATAGTCGCGACGAACAAGCGATTGAGCGATCGCGATCGCTCATCGCTTGTATCGCGTCGCCGACTATGAGGGGGGGGGGTTTTCGGTCTGAAACAGTGAGACACGTGGCCTCCTTATCCGCCCCCAGCCACGCATGATGAGCGGCAACCCAGCCACCTTATTAATGGGAGATTTGTGCAGAAGTAGTCTCGTTGTATAACAAGATTGACAACGTAGAAAAAAATTACGCTACTCGAGCGTGCACATGAGAATTTCACTTCAATTCGCGAACCTTTGCAGTACCACCTGGAAAGTGTAGGGTGTCTGCTTGCGAAATACGTGACCAACACGAGAACATGGATGAATCTCCAGTGATCCACCGCACATCCACACCTAAAATTGTTCATAAAACAAAATAAGGAGATGTTCACAACAGTGAATTTCCCAATAAGTTTCAGAGCTTAGAAACCTATAGCTCTACGTGATAGAGAAAATGACCGTCAAACAAACAAAAAAAACCACGAGATTAAGATGTCCATTTTTGGGTACCCAACAAACCCGATAAGAGAAAAAAAACTAATGATGAAGTTGGCCATGTGCAACGCTTACCCTGAAAGAGATCTCCAGATTTTCTCCTCCCCATACTTGCATGCCCTCATCGTAAGAGCCGATGTCGTAGAAGAACTGCTTGTCAATGGCGAACAGACCTCCAGCAATGGTTGGCGTTCTAAACAGAGTATTGATTCGCAGAAAAAAAATAAGTTCCAAACTTTCACTCACTGGATGGGCGATGAACGATCGCCCTTTCTTCGCAACATTTCACGTTTTGGAACTGGATACCAGCGGAAGTTCAAGTGCCAGTTGAAGCCTCCCCATGTCGTATCAGAAGCAGTTACATACTCAAAAGTATCATCTGAAGAAGAGAAAAATAGTTAAATTCATGATCACGTAAAGATTTGAGAACGAAACTTACCCGATATTACATCTATAATGGGAGCTACTACACGCTTCCTGTCTCTGGCTACCCTGTCTACGAGTGGTTCCAGCCAACCTTCAGTAACCTGTGAAAGATAAGTTACTATTCACGGCATCGGAAAAAAAATATTCCAACAATTCCACACTCAGATAAACATGGGGTCCGAATGGACCCCAAGGGTATCGCCCACTCAGAATAAAACGATTAAAATTTGGCAAAGCTACGAAGAAGACAGAGCTCGAATGAGCTCACCTATACTGTCTGTCTTCTTCGTAGCTCTTCTTCAAATGGGCTGGGCTCGTCATGAATAGCATAGCTCTCGCACAAGCAAAAACTGTTAAATGATATATGAATCGTCGCATGCAAAGGTGGTAAAGAATTCATTAAAAAGCAGGGCATTTTGATTCATGAATATTCCATAAAAAGGCCAAAACAAAGACGGTTTGAAGCAGGAATCCAAGAAACAATTGAGAAAAGAATAGAACTTGGTTCCCCCGCCAAGCATTCCTTGCTATGCTTTGAATGTCTCTCACAACATAGTCTACTTATGCACCATGCACAAATAGGAAAGAAAGTTCTTCTACTCAATCGGAGCTTGAATTCTGTGACTTACTGTTTGGTTTATTGATTCATAACGATTGATTATCTTAACAAGCGAATAACATTCATTTACACGTACATCTGAAAATACTAAAATACCGTACCTCTACATGCGCATCTAGGAATAAAAGCACACGCCCCTTGGCCATTCCAGAGCCAGTTAAGCGTGCACGTATAAGACCACTCCGCCGCTTCAAGTGGACAATCCGCATGGGAACCTTCAAAACAATATAGGTCACCACAAAGTATTAATAGGAGAATGAACCCTCAGCTTACGCACAGGGAAGCGCTTTATATATTCATCCAGAGGAGCTTTGAGGTAATCCCTATCTGATAAGTCATCGATCAGAATAATCTCTTCCAACAGTGCCAAAGGTGATCTGGAAAGAATACAATTTTCGTTTCCTGATTGATATCCACTATCAAGCTCACAGCTGCAGAAAACAGTGAAACAGTGATACCTATTGATAACAGAGTGCAGAGTACGAAGAAGCGTGGTCCATGCTTCGTTATGGAAAACGATAATAATTGAAGTCTTTGGCAGATTGGGTAGGAAACTTTTAGCTTGACACCTAGAATTTGGGCAAGCACATAATGCCTATTATTCACAATTCGAGAGTCATTAAAGTAGATAAGCTGCAT